GCGCAAGCGCACTAACGGCACGGCGTGACGTGCGTGCCGGGACCTTCCTCAACCACGTCTCCGTATGATGACGTCAGAGGCCCGGGAGGCGGAGCTGCAGCCTAAATCCTCAGCGCGGCTTTGGAATTCAGCCTCTGCTTAGGACAGCTGTGGTGCCGGGTGCGATTTGCCTCACATCAGACTCAAAATACCCTGGCTTCGAAGGGCAAAATAAGCGTAAGGTGTCCGCACCCTCAGCTCCTACCACTGTGCTGGGGCAAGCCTGGGTTCCCAGATGGGTCCGGGGCAGCACACGGTAAGTGGTCCAGGGTTGTGTGTTAGCCTAGTTTTACGAGACGACCGACTCCAGGGATCTGTGCGTTATTTTACCGATTCTTTTATTAAAACAACTTCCCACTTTAATGTGACAAAATGAGTAAACTACCAGCAGACCTGTTTGATTCATCTCACTTGACCCTCCACACCTGCAGAAATGCTCCTGTAGACCTGTCGAGAATTCAGCGTGGTTTCTACCCACCAGTGTGGGTATTTTGTAGGCTCCCTTTAGGCCTTATCTGGCCATCAAATGACGGCGTTCTTCTGAAAACCAGCTCTGGGTCTCTGCTCTTGCTAAATTACTTCACCTTTCTTCCTCACCCCCCACCCCCACCAGCTCCCAGGCGAAACTCGCCCAAGCACAAGAACCACATATATATTCTTACACATTCTTGTCTTTGAGCCAGATCGTCGACCTTCAAGTAAACAAATCCCAACTGCTTGCTTGACATTTTTCGGATACCTCAAATTCAAATGCCTGAAGCCGAACTTATCTTCCTCACTGAAACTCCTTCCCCAAATCAAGACACTTCCAATTCTAATGTAATCATCACCAGCACCCATTTAGTCCAATATCCATCATTTTCTAATTCACTCAACAAAAATGTCAATATACCAGACACAAGGGATCAAGTGACCAAAATGTTCCTGTCACTCATGAAGTTTGCATAATTCTAAGTTTTAAGTGCTGTTAAGAAAAAAGTATCCAGTAAGTAAACAGTGACAAAGGATTATGTTTTAGTGGTGGCCATAGAAGGCCTCTGAGGTAATGACACTGGAGCCTGGAGCAAACACCTGAATTTAGGAAGAATGAGCATTAAGAATATTTGAGTGAAAAGCCTTCCCACGCTGAAGATGTAACACGTAGATTTCTAGATGGGAAAAATCTTGGCAAGGTGGCAAAGCAGCCAATGTAGCCAGATTACAATGAGCAAGAACAAAATGGTAGGAAATTAGGCCGAACGATGAACGCACACAGACCAAACTTTAGAATTCTAGGCATGATGGGAAAGCCAGGAGTTTGGGAACTGGGAAGTGACAAAATCCGGCTTGCCTCAGCAAAGGCTCATTCTTGGCTGCTGTCCAAAAATCACTGCAGGACAAGAGCAGCAGCCAGCCACTGTAAGCCCCTGTCGCTAGCCACTGTGAGCCAGTGGTCGTGGTGGTTAGAAGTGCTACAGGACTCGGGATACACTGCCAAGGTAGATCCAGGTTGCTTAAGGACTAGATACAGGGTATCAAAGAGAAACAAATGAGAGCCAAAGTATTTATCCTAAGCAAATGCAGCTTAATTGAGAGATTAATTTGGAATACTCAAGACATTCAAATTGAGATACTGACGAGGACTGGAGTTTTGGGGAGTTTGGGACCTAGGAGCATTTCGGAGTGACAGAAATACTAGTGATTGTATTCAAAGTCCTGGGATTAGATGAGATCACCTAGGAAAGATTGTAGCTAGAGATCAACGTCTCACAACTGAAGCCTAGATTACCCAGTACATGATACTGATTACTGAGTGGCGAGACAGGAAACATTTAGAATCCATTCACTACCGTCCTCCACTTTATGTTGTAATCATTTCTCACATGGGCTACTCCAAAAGACATGTCTTGCCCCATACATTTTGTTCTCAACACTGCATTTTATATTCTTTAAATGGCAAATTTATTAGGTGACCATCCTTGAACCCACCCCTGGCCCCATACACAGTTTAGAAACCCTTTATAGTTTCCAACTGTTAAGAGACAAAACTTAACATGGAACATAACTATAGAGCCATCATACAGTACCCTTTACCTATTTCTTCAGCCACTAACTACTAAAAGCCATAACTCCTCCCACTTGGGCAGATAGCCTTCTCAGTCACTGGAGATTGTACCTTTGGATGTGCTCTTCTCTCCACTTCTCTGCCTAATTACTCCTAATCCGTCAAGTCTTAGTTGAATTATCCCTTTCACCAAAGTCTTTCCTGATCATTTTGACTAGGTCATAACCTGAGTCATGGCCTTTATACCTGTCATCAACCATGTTGCTCCATCATGGCACTTGCTACCTTTTTGTGTCACCTTGTCATTATCTTTGACGAGACTGTTCAGTGAAAGCGGGAACCACAGTGATTTTGTCACCACTGAATGCTTAGTGCTTGCCATGATGCTTGGCAAAGGACACCCAAATTTGCCAAATGAAGCCTTAGTTCAGTGGCTTAATACAGAGTCTCCCGAATATAAACACAGTAAAGAAAACTAGTATTTACAAATAAAAATACAACACTAAAAATTGCCTTGTACTAGATCAGGTGGTCTTGCACTGCCTGCACTCAATGAGCCAGTCTTCTGCATGAGACTGGATTAGGCCTCGCAACAGCTGTTAAATTAAGGTATTAAAATCCTGACTGAAAGAAGGTGGCAGTCTAGTTACCTTAGAAGACAAGGCTACCAGATAGATTTAAGCTTCTTCCTTCTCTCCTCTCACAAGTAGCACTTTAGAGCTTTACTGGATAAAATACACAACTAATGCAGACTTCACTCAAGGACAGTAAGGAATCAGATTTTAATATTTAATCTAATGTAATTTAAGACATTCACTAGTCTTTTCCAGTATTTTTATAGACCTCAGGATGGGAAAAGGTATAAAGATAAGCCTTAACAATTTACATTCATTTTCCTGATGGTTTCCCTCCCCGCTGACTCTAGAGAAGGGATAAACAACTCAAGGGCAATACTGATTCTTTGAATATAATTTATAGCCCGTAAAACTTAAAAGTGCTTAGTAAGAACTCAAGTAGGACGAGAGTTCAGGAACTTAAAGATGAAATGAAGAAGGCTTTGAACTCAGTGCTTACCTGTATCTCATTCCCCTAATTAGATGTATTACTGGAAATAAAATGAATGGTACAAATTTCCTAAGACACTTAGGAGGCTGACTACTGAACTGCCTTCTACATTTTATGAACTGGTTGTCAACAGAGCACTTCAGTTACTGAGGCTTCTGAGAATAAACACAAATTCTCATGCCTCCTATAAGTGGAAAAGTCTCCCACATAACAGAGATACATATATAGGAGACAAAAGAACTGCAGAAGCTAACCGATTAAAAATGTTTAAAGGACATTTGTTTTAATATCAAGATACACTGATTGCAAAACCTCTTCCATATTCTTTAGGGATATTAGGATCTAGAAATAAAACTGCTCTAACCAAGGTCATCAATGACATTCTACCTTAAAGCTTTAAAATAGAAGTCTCATTATCCACATGAGATGACTGATATTGTGCATTTAACAAGTACCTTATATGTGGAGTCTTACTATACCAAGAAGCTAGTGACACATGTGACAGTCATTTCCTTGCAACTCTGCTAAAATAAGCATTTGACCAAACAAAAGGCCTTCTGCAGGTAGGACAAGTATTCACAGATTATACAGGACACTTAGTACCAAGACTCAGATCTTAACAGAACTTCTTTTTAAAAAGAAGTTCTCTGCCTCATAACGAGGCACTCCTTTAAAAAATATAGTCTGAATTGAGACATAAAAGCTTAACATTTAGACTGTGATGACAGAATGCCAAAAAAAAAAATTATATTTCCAAGAGAACGATTCTTTTAAAAACATACATAGAAATAATAAAACTAACACCTTTACACATCTACAACATCTACACTAATGCATAGAAGTTTGAAACCTAGAAAGCATTTCTCCCCCATCTCATCTCTGAACTGATTCATAGAGATCACTGTATAAAGAACTTATTTACTTCAATTTTAAATGTCATGAAATTATTTTCTACACAGCAAATTTAGTTTTATATATAGAAGGATTGTAAGCATACACATCTAGGGATTACCCAGTAAACCACGAATATTTTATCTATTTCCCATAAAATACAGCTAACATATGGTTGTGGTACATCCCAGGCAGATGTCATTTAAGCACACAACGGGAGGTGCTAGCAAAAGAAATACTCATTTGCAAAAGTAAACAGATAACCCTTCCAATATGATGTACCACAACCACACATGAGAAAAGTCAAGAACTTCTTTTATTTTAAAATAAACATTGAAGATATACCCCCCCTTCCCCACCACCCTACAAAAAACTTTTGAATGTGGAATGTTCAACAGCCTATCCATTTTAGTAGGTTACAAAACCAGCAAAAACTCCAGTTGTCTAATAATGAATGTTTGAGAATAGTTCTGTGTCTTGTTTTTTGTTTTTCTTTAGTAGCTGAGCACCTACTGGAAAAATTCCTTAGCTAAAGGCTAATAAAACAAAATTCAGTTTCTGCACAGAAAATACCATTCACTTAGTATTAGTAGCCTTTGCTGAATAGATGGGATTAATTCCCCATGAAGTCAAAGTGGGATATGACAAGCAGCATTAAGTTCATAGGCACACAGAACAAGTGCTCAAACTGCTAGCACAAATTCCAACAGTACATAAATTACTAAACTGTCATCTCCATCAAACTTGTGACTCTCCCTATGCATCTAAGTGAAGGAATCACCACTTTGAATTTAAACGCCTCCATGAGAAAAAGATAATTCAGTTAGGGTTAGACAAAAGATAAACGCAACTGCTACAGAAATAGCTGCTGGAGATAACCATAAAATTTGAAACACTAACAATGCATGGGGTGAACCACATAAGCTGCTAGCTGTTGAACACCAGTGTTTCAAGATACAACTTTTATAAACATGTTTTATTTGTTTTGCTTATACCATCAGAACTGAAACTACTGTCTGTCATTTCCCTAAAATAGGGAAATCAATCTAAAACACATACTGGTGCTTTGCAAAAGATAGCAATTTAAAAGGGTGGTAGCAGCAGGCATTTGATATTTTTCTTTTAAAAACCTTCAGGCTGCAGGAAAAACATGTGACCAAGGGTGTTATGATTATCCATTAGATATTTTCATCAGTACCTGTACCAATTTAGGTGACAATACAGCAAGATCCAAGGATTAGTGACAGACAATGTACATTATAAGGAATGATATATAGTACCAATCCTTACAAAAGTCATTGTCGAAGAAACTGTTAAGTGTTCAAAAAGGTATCTAAATACTTCACATTAAGTACAGAAGCGGCCATCCAGATTACATCCCATATTTGTTGCATATTTTTCCAAAAAGTGCCAATCAAAGCCTATTTTGCACTTTGGCTTTGTCTTATACAGTATCAGCTGTTAAAAAGCAATTTACATGTGTTTTTAACCACAGTCGTTTGGCCAGAGGATGAATAGTGCTGTGTCAAAGCTGGTAGCCAGCCTTTTGTATTACGGGCCCATACAGAATTTGGTATGCATCTAACGTTCAGTGCTCCAATTTAACCGGAAAAGCTGTGAAATGCAGTTGTTCTGCCAAACCACACTCCACTCCTTCTCAAAAGGAAAATATTTTAGTTTTGTCAATTACCATTGAATAACTCTAGGGCTGATTTGTAGATTTTATCCAATGTCAAAAGTCAATCTTGCTTTTTCCAAGCCACTTCAAATAACTACGGAGAGATCACCCTGTAAAGTGTATTATGTTTTACTCCTAAGCAAGGGTGAGGAATCTGAGTATCATGTGCAAGGCTCAAGATGACGCTTAGGACAGAACATGCAGAATAAAAATAGTTTCCTTCCATATCCAGGTAATATAAAGCTGACAATTGTAGTCCTGTCTTTATGGGATGAAAACAGTCCCTTTACAATAAGTTTCCTGAAAGGGAGAACAAATAGATAATAACTCTTCTGGTAACATATTATGGTACACTTGGCCAGTGTGTTTTGGCGTTTAAACATAATCCTGTGAATCAGATTAATTCACTTGCTGAGTGTTCATTTGCGGCATCCCTCTGTTGGGTCTTGGGGGCCCTCCACGACCTAGAAGACAAAAATGGCATTTGGTTTTTCTTTCAAATATTATTTGCTTTGCCTTCAAGCAGATTTTCATCTGAAGTCAAGAAGCATGTGGGCAGCTTGTCACATTATTAGGTTTAAGAGGTCAATTCTTCAGTGTTCACCTGTCCTGGAAGTTGTCATGTGCAAATTTGCTCATGTTCTCTAGCTAAAAGAAGAGTAGAGCTAATGGAGTATTCCACCAGTACTCATTCATTCATTCATTCAACAAGTATTTATTGAGTGCCTACTATGTGCCAGGCACTGTCATCAGGCGTTGGAAATAGATACAGCAGTGAAGACAGACAAAGTACCTGCTCTCATGGAGCTTACATTCTAGTGTACACTCTAGCTTACATTTCAGTAGTAAGTAACATCATACTATCAAAATTAATAAAAGCACCAGAATGAAAAACAGACCTTGTTACCTAAACTGTTAAAAAGAAACTACATAACATTCAAAATTGTATAATGACTTGTAACAGATAAAATAACTTTTTACATGCTGTTAAAACAGATTTTTAGCTACCAGTCAACTCAACTTTCATAGAATATGCTACAAGGTGAGAAAGAACATAACCCACATTCACATGCAAATATCCTTTGATACTTCAAGTCAGTTAATTCCCAAGTGATCCATTAATTTAAAAATAAAATGCACCTTTTTGCTGGCCAGTTTCTACTAGCACTGAAATCAAAGTACTTTATAATTCCTCCTTAATATACATTTTATACATGTTATGGCCAATATCTAGAGGAAACCTATTCAATTTAACTTCCCTTAAATCAGAGAACCATTTAGAATTTCAGATCATATGAAATGCTACCGCTCTAATTGTTACACAGGTTGGCTTCCTGCCCTAAAAATAGGAAGCAGTTTTCCTATGGTAATAGACGAAAGCAGAAATTCTTTAAACATGTAATTTTTAAATATAGTTCAATAAATTAGTTAGGATTTTGGGTGTTTTATTTAAAAGTCAGAAATAATTTGACACTTATATCACTATTAGTGATCCAAAGGCATTGAAATTTCAATTAGTTCTATCACTTCTAAATGGTTCTCTAAATGTAACTATGGCTTATCTGGCCATTAAAGGATTTCTGACCCTAAAATATAATATGCATGTTCAAAAATGAAAGAGGAATAATAAATTTATATAAATGTTCAATCTCATTCCAAAAATGTCTTACAAAAATGTTTCAGTAAGTACTTCCTAAAAACATTTAGCAGGTTTTAGGACCTGAAAAATAATTTGCAGTTGGAAAAACACTTTTTCTGAGGAGGAGAAATGTTCTAGTTTTCAAGACAATTTATATAATAACAGGGAAAGTCATTCAAAAAATTAAATTTGGGTTCAAGAGAAGTTTTAGAAACAGAGCATTTCATTTAATCCCTAGCAACAAGTCTGGTAATGATAAATGTATTCCTAACATGTAACCTACATGCAGACTATGGAACAGCTCTTCCAAGGCCAGAACAGAAGCTCCACTTAGGAGCTAGGATCACCACCACAAAATATTACCTCGTGGGGCTCCCCGTGGTCCACTCTGCCCAGAGCCTCGCTTGAAATTCTGCTGATATCCATCCTAAAAGACAAGCTAGTTAGTACTGAAGAAAATGTAATCTTTTTAATGCTTACTCATCATCTATCTATTCTTACCGACACTTACAGAACACAAAATTCCTTATTCTTTTACACATTTCATCATAGCTAGAAGTTATTCTGTAATTATACTTGTTATTCTCAAGAATATTCAATGAGATGTCTCTGCTCTTAAAAATCTTTTTTCTTCTCCTACACACACTTATTTTTATTCACGTATAATTAACACAGTATTATATTAGTTTCAGGTGTACAACAGAATGACTCAACAATTCTATATATTTCTTAGTGCTCAAGGTAAGTCTAATCTTAATCTCCTTTATCTATTTCACCCATCCCCCTATCCACCTCCCCTCTCTGGCAACTACCAAGTTTATTCTCCATTTAAGATTGTTTTTTTGTCAGTCTTGGTTTTGTTTCTTAAATTTTGCATATGAGTGAAATCGTATGGTATCTGTCTTTCTCTGACTTATTTCTCTTAGCATTACACTCTCTAGATCCATCCATGTTCCTGCAAATGGCAAGATTTCTTTTTTGTGTGTGTGTGTGGCTGAGTAATATTCCATTATATATACCACATCTTCTTTATCCATTCATCTAGTGATGGACACTGGGGTTGCTTCCATCCACATCTTAGCTATTATAAATAATGCTGCGATAAATACAGGGGTGCATATATCTTTTTGAATTAGTGTTTTCCTTTTATTTGGGTAGATACCCAGTAGTGGAATTACTGGGTCATATGGTAATTCTATTTTTAATTTTTTGAGGAACCTCCACACTGTTTTTCACAGTGTGAAATTAGCTGCACCAATTTGCAATCCCACCAACAGTGCATGAAATCATTGTTTTTAAGACTCTATTAAATGAGCACCTATGCTGAGTACTTCTTAAGAAAAGCAAAAGTCATCATTTTCCATAATGAAGTATCTTGTACAAAGGTACAAAATTAGCCCCAAATTACTTAATTACTGAAGTCCAAAAAACCACATCAGTCCATTTCATTGGTGTATTTAGGTCAGGTTTGTATTTTAAAGCAACTTCTACCTACCCGCTGATAGCCAGAGTAGTCCCGGGGAGCACTGAACTGAGACTGTGTATAACCACTGTTTGGAGTGTTAGAGAATGAAGGGCGGTAACCATCATATCCTCCTAAAATTTAGGACAAGAAAATAATTTTCTTATCTACACAAGGAATTTTTATTTCTTACTATTGACCAAAGGAAGAACTGAAAAATTGTAAGCCATGCTAGTTCTTTAAACTAATTTCTAGTTTCCTATCCTGATCCAATCTGTTCCTAAATTTCTGAGTATTAACTTTCTTGGAAGAGGACATTTTTACCCATTCATGCACACACACCCCCCCACAAAAAAAATCCCCATAAAGTCTGATAATGTGTGGAAAGCAATTATCACCTAGAGGACACAGAAGACATGGATTTGACACCTAAAAAAATTCATTCCTAATTTTATCAATTTAAATGCCTGTAACAGGACCACCTGGGTGGCTCAGTCAGTTAAGCGCCTGCCTTCAGCTGAGGTCATCATCTTGGGGTCCTGGAATGGAGCCCCACATCGGGCTCCCTGCTCAGCAGGGAGTCTGCTTTTCCCTCTCCCTGTGCCCCTCTCCCGGCTTGTGCTCCCTCACACTCTCTCAAATAAGTAAAAATCTTTTAAAAAAATAATTGCCTATAACATACTAAGAATGTTTAAGTCGTACATAAGAGGCTAATGCAGATACATATCTTTCCCCAAAACCTTACGACATATTTCTATATGTTTTATAAATCAAAAAAGAACATAAACTTGCTGCTGCTTTTTTTTTTTTGTACCTCTGAATCCATTGGCAGGGCCCCTGTATCCATTCATCAAGCCTCTAGCACCACGGGAACCACCACGAGACACACCACGACTGTTATAATAGGGCTGACTGCTACGTGGAAATCCAGTGTTCTGCTGGGGAGGCTGCTGGTGGTTACCAGTCACTTGGTGGGGCTGGTCCTGGGAACCATGGTAGGTGCCAACCACTATAATAAAAAGAAAAAATTTATACACACACACACACACACACACCGCATACACATAGCACATTACAACCTGTTCTCTCACATTTTCTGGTTTAAGGGGTGTCTTATACTTCCTCCTCAAATTGTCTTTAAATTTTCATATTAACAATAGTGAAAACTATACATTAGTTAAGTCATTAAGTCCCTATTTTTCTCCTACCCATACATTAATAAGCTGAAGAGAATACAATTCTCCAACAATAATTCCAAACCTTTAGAAGCACACAAATGTGTGAGATCACAAAAATCTATCCTTCCAAATGAAACGAAAAAACCTGTATTATTAAACATCTTCTAAGAGGCATCTGCCTACTAGCACAAGAGACCCACAATAATTCAGAAGATCTTACATACTAAAACAATACAATTACCATTTTGTATCATTTGTTTCTTTTTACTATAAAGCTCCTTAGTGGTAAAAGCTTTCTCATCCTTTTAAATTTCCCTTGATACTTAGTGAAACATACAAAACCATACTCTCCCATAGCTAGACAACCATATGGTGGAATATTCAGTCAATTATAAAGATAAATCAGCAGAGGCCTTCAACTTATACCCCCCCTTAATGCCTGATTCCATTTCAAGTACTTTTAAGTACAACCAATTTAGAAGACAGTTAAATAGCACTCACACTGGCACTCAACCTGATGAGGTAAAGAGAAGATTCTAGAAGGTTCACACTAACCTTGCACACCCCCTCCTCCTTCCACAATGGGGAGAAGTCTAGAATCTAGAAATCTTCAAAAATTAAATCCTGAGGTACCTTTCTGCTATTATCCCAATGTTTGTAATTCCCAGGAAAAATGGGATGCGAACACTACCTTTGGAAGGTATGGAAGGTAGAGACTAAAGGAAGGCCCATACCCCAGGAACAAAAACAATCAGCAACCTCTTGGCAGCCCAAATCTTCCATGTTTAGGCAGAAAGAAAAGGTGGTATGACCTGAAAAACTTCACCTGATATATTTTGTATCCTGAAGAAACCCCAAACACATTTATCAGTTCTTAGAATGCTATTTGGAGTGAAAAAGCCCAAGTATGCCTAGGAGAAGGAGTCATGGCTCCTTTTTGAACTATGTAATTAATGTACCAATTACACCATTCACTGTGTGATCTTTCTACAGAGTGCCTTTCACTACATTCCCCAAATTTAAAATTACAGGCAACTATCATGATTACAGGTAACATTTTCTATTTGAAGAGATTTGATTCACATGCATATAGAGTGGTCAAAAGTGAATTTTCAACTCAACTTTTTATCAGTAAGAATTGTATTAGTCTTGGTCAAATCTCACTGCAAGAAAACTCAGAGCAGTACAATTAAAGCACTTCATTTAAAAATACTAGAAATCAGGGCACCTGGGTGGCTCAGTCAGTTAAGCGTCTGTCTGCCTTCTGCTCAGGTCATGATCCCAGGGTTCTGGGATCGAGCCCTGCATCAGGCTTCCCTGCTCAGTGGGGAGTCTGCTTCTCCCTCTGCGCCACCCCCACCCCCCACCAGGCTCATATGTTTGTTTTCTCTCTCTCTCACAAAATAAATAAAAATAAAATCTTGAAAACAAAACCAGAATTCCTTTAAAAAAAAAAAAAAAAAAAAACAATTTCTATCGAAGTGTTTGTACAGCATAAACTCTAAGTCCATAAATAATAGCCAGATTCTTGCCATATCCCTTTTGCAGGTTGTTCCTGACTAGACAGTACAATCTGCTGTGGAACAGGTGTATTTGGGGCCTTTAGACATTGTGCTGACATGCTTATGAGTACATGGCAATAATTAAAGGAGCCTGAGAGCATGAAGCCCAGTTTTACCACTCACCAGCTGACCACAGATAGCATAATGGATAAATATCAGATTATAGTTGATTCAAACTCCCTACTAATTACTGGTGCTTAATACTACAGGAAATGTGTAAGAATTTAGTACTGAAAAATCCATAATGTTGATCCAAGTCTATCAAGAAACTGGACAATTAGAATATTTCATAGTTATTTAAATCAGTGTGGTAAAATTAAACTATTAACTCGTATGATTTTAGAAAGGTTTGCTAGTTTGTTATGGGATTCCAATTAAACAACCTGGGATCTAAATAACCAAAGACCTAAAGCAGGTATTTCACACCTTACAAAGTTCAGAAATCTACGATATCTCTATCTACATTATTGCAATGTGTGTGGTAACTAGCCAACTTATGAATGACCTTACTTGCCAACAGAGACTTCGTTTCAACCTAATCTACCAAATATAGCTACCATGAGGTTTTTGCATATTTTATTCTAACTAGCACACTGACAACCAAGCCAATTCCTTACTGCTTCTTAACTTTGTATAACTGACTTACTACCTACCAGGTATCATGCTCGTTGGCTTCAATTAATTAGCAATTAAAAGTAAAGTTGATCATAATTTGAGTAACAAGTTTAGTTCCACTAAAATCATAGAATGAAACAGGGATATTATGAATGCTTACTGACCAAAAGAAAATTGGCATAAAGCCTCAAAAAAAAGTGCAGGTAATTCACATACAATAAATATGGACTCGATTTAATGAAAAATCCATAAGGTCTACTACTAAAACAAAAATTCTTGGACACTAACACTCTAAAGTCTAAACTCTCCTAACACTATCAGTAACAGTTGGAAAGCAAGCAGCCAAGGAAGGGACGCTGGTTTTCCTACCTGTTTGAAGCTGTTCTTGCTGAAGGTCTGTTTGTTCTACTTGGTGAGGCTGACTAGAAAAGCTCTGGTTATAACTGGCCTGGTACTGATTTTGCTGTTTCAAAGTTTCTGGTTCATTAACAGGAGGAACTGGGGCATTCATATTGAACACCTGTAAGTAAATAAAGTAAATGATTACTTCATCCCTTTATGCTAATAATTTCCCTACTTTTAACAAGGCAGACCTCAATGCTGGTTTTACCTCAAATGTAAATGCATTACAGAAGTCTCAAACACACACACTCTCTCTCTCTTACAGAAGTCTCAAACACACATACACACTCTCTCTCTCTCTCTCTCTCTATTTACATACACACATACACACCACATAGCACTTAAAGGAGAGCATAAGAGGGGATCAAAATCTAAAAAGACACACAAAGGGGTGCCTGGGTGGCTCAGTTGGTTAAGCGACTGCCTTCGGCTCAGGTCATGTTCCGGGATCGAGTCCCACATCGGCCTCCCTGCTCAGAGGGGAGTCTGGTTCTCCCTCTGACCCTCTTCCCTCTCGTGCTCTCTGTCTCTCATTCTCTCTCTCAAATAAATAAATAAAATCTTTTAAAAAAAATAAAAAAATAAAAAGACAGACAAAGCAGCAGCCTTAGAAATGCTACTATAAATAAGAAAGCTTTTTAAAGGATGCAAACCCCTGATACAATGTCACTTACAGAAATTAATTCTATGAACTTTAAATTTGAGTTGAATATTTTATTCATTTTATTTTTATTGACATTTTAACCAAAAGTTAATATTTTAATATTTAACTCTATGAACTTTACCATGACCACCAATTTAGCTATATCCCATTAATTACGGTATTTTTATCATTGCTTTCTAGTAATTCTGCAATTTAGAGATGCTTACTGAAAAACCACAATGAACTATAATATGTGAAATTTACTATGAGAAACTTCAGTAAGGTAAGATTAAGCAAATATGGAAAAATGCAGACAATTGTTAAATCTAGATAATGATTTATATTTAGATATCGTAGTAGTCTACTTCTCTGCATGTTTACTTTTATTAATCAAACCAAAAGGATGAAACTATAAAAAAGGAAGATGTGAGTACATAACTCCTAAGTGTCAAATGTTATCTCTGGGAACAGGAAAAAATTATAGAGTTTATGTGCAATTAAATATATTCCACAGTTTGGATAGATGCAAACTCAAACACAAAGCTAAATGAAGACTTTTCTGCTGACACTCTGGTATGATCATAGTACACACCAGGCACTTAATGTTAGTTCAGTTAATTTACTTACCGTTTGCATGGATTGGAATGGAGCTGCATTTACATTGATTCCACTACTATGTAATGGTTTGCTTGTCCCAGCCTGGAACACCTGAGGCTGAGAAGCAGCCGGAAGGGATGATGATGCTGTAGTCTGGTCTGTATTTAAAGAGATTGTTGCCTAAACACAAAATGAATAGATGCATTTTAGTGGTAAACTGAATTTAACCAAGTCTACTATCCAAGACTTAGTATGTTAAGAAATTCAACTATTTCATAAAAGCAAAATACTGTATTGCATGCATTAGGACCAAAAAGAATCACAATATTAACACAATATTTACCTCTGCCCAATTCATGAATAAGTGCCTCATCAAGTTTATGTTACCTAGTAACAGAAACTTGCCTGAATCTGGTCAATTGGTTCCTTTTGTGGTCGCTGCTCTGTAGCATGAGAAGGCTGGTACAAGGGTTGAGATGCTGTATACCCCTCACTTGTGGATGAAACCAAAGGAACCTACACAGAAGTAAAGCAATCAAAGCTGCTTTCTGTTATAAACTCTAAGACAGACAGGGCTAAGAAACAGATATACCTGCTAAAGAAACTATAAAGCCTAACAACTGCAAAAAATACATCTAATATTAAAGCTGAAAGTTAGATAAACCCAAGTCCAGTTATGAAGTCTCCCAACAAATGCTTCTAAATGGCAATATCTACACTAAATTTTAAAATTATGACATTTAAATAGGTCTTCTCAAATTCTACTCCATTCAAAATAAAAAGGCATCTTTCTTCATTAAACTATTATAAACATGAGACTTAACAAAAAACAGTGTTTTTTAAGTTATTAAAACAAAAGTAAATGTAACATGGAAATAAAGGCTGACAGCTACCCACTCCAGACTCAGACAATGATAAAATTCATACCTGACTTTCAAAAGCCAATTAAAGAGACCCAAGAACTGATTAAAAACAAACCTACAGCAGTATTTCTGTCACTCTTACCTGTGTAGCTTCTGGTTGTACAGGAACTTGATTAGGTTGAGCAAGTCTAGATTCAGAATGAACTGTAAATTGACCAAAAAAACCCCACTGTTATCCAGGAATCAAATTTCTTTAGAGAAAATTTCTATAGCCAAATCCTAAAAAAAACTTTTTAGTGATCATGAAAAAAATTGGAAAAGTATAGGTAGGATTTTAGCTTTCAAGTGAGCATTTTGGTTTCCTGGTAATCATTATTAGTCAACTCTCACAATGGCTTTCATTTTGAGTTCTGCTAAGGTAAAGTAAGACGTCAGTGAAAAAGTACTAACAAAGAGGTATAGAGCAGAATAGGCAAGAATCAATGCCACAGTTATCCATGAAAAAGAGCCTTTTAATGTGGTAACTACAAAGTAGCATTACCCTTACTCAACACCTAAGATAGACAATATTCAGTAATATTTTAACATTATCAACTTTCAATATAATCTTAAATGCTTCCACAGGAAAAAATAAGAATACACCTTTTAAAAAAACCTATATTCAAATTGTCAACTCTTAGCAGTCTTCTACTCCCTTCCCCAACCATGGGTTAAAGAATCAAAAATATACAATCTGTGGTTAGTCATTTAGAAATCACCCATTTTCATCAGAGAGGCTAACGAACTCAGCATTAACTGAGTATCTAAATGGCTTACAGGTTATATCAATGCTGTACGTGTTGATTTTGGCACAACTTTCCAACTATAAAAACTGTGTTAGTCTTCCTCTGGTAGAATATGGAAAATGAACACTAATTACTTTGATTCCTTTCCAGAAGGCCTAACCCTGATTTGTTTTTTAACTCTTGGTAGAAACGTTAGAGATATGAGCTCCCTTTACTTTGGAGAAATCCTAACTACCTTAACAAATTAACAGTGTCATTAAACATGCTTTCTCTCAGCAACTCCTTTTATGACACTGAAGATTTATATGACATTAAATATGTTATTTTATATAGTTCCACTTTTGTGCCCTTAATGATGACATGTTCTGGGGAAAAAAACCAAGACTCAAAATTACTAATGGTCCCGGAGAAAAAGTGTCCACGTAACAGAGTACAAAACACCAACAACTCTATTTAGTGCTATTTCTAATAATGGTGTAAGATTAGTAGGAGTTTGAAACTTCAACTGTCTTTTGGCCTATCTTCGCCTTTCCTCTTAAACATCCCCTTAATCACTTTACTGTTACATCTCATTTTTATTTAGATAATAAAATGTTCACAAATTCTCCTAAAAAGCTGCAAGCATCCTTCAGAGAGAGACCCCTCTATTATTTTTATGCTTAATTTTGAAATTTAAAAAGCCAAGCAAAATTTAATTTATATAAATTATAGTAACAAGCAAAATTGGTCTGTAATGTTACAAATCAGGAAATGTTTCCCACAGGGCTGGAAGAGAGGGTAACTTGTGACTGAAAGGCTTCTGAGGTACAGGTAATATTCCATTTCTGGGTGCTGGTGTGTTCAGTTTGTGAAACTCATCAAAGCTGTATATTTGTACATACTTAAGTCTATGTGTGTAACAAAAGGTTTAAAAAAGCAACAGAACTACAGTTATTCATATTACAGGGAAAAACAGTAAACATTTCTTATCAAATTAAAAGACACAAGATCCAAAAGTTAAGCAAACATTAAAAGGAAATAATTTTCATATGCTTTACAAAACCTGAAAGCACTGGCCCTATATTTCACACATAAGAATAGATCATTACTAACCCGGAGGACAAACCAGCTGAGGCATGTCCATGTTTTGTGTCGGATTCATAGGCTGTGCAGATACAATGGCAGGATCAAGTGTCTGGTTTTCAAAATCCAGCATTGAATCCTGCAAGTCAGGATATAATGGAATTAAATTAAATGACGTAAACACTTAAACTTTCAAGTCAGTGTTTGACTCAACCGCACCTACCTGTATGAAATTATAGGGTCCCTGCATTTGCGCCATAAGGTCCTGGACTCGCTGTCTTCTCACAAGGGGATCTGCCTGAGCCACTGGAGTCAAAGAGTGGGGCTCTGGTACTGAAGGAGATGCAGCCTGAGGTTGCTGCTGGAGTGAATTTACCACCTAAAGGGGATAAAGAGGGGAGGGATGCAGACCGGGAGAATGCAAGAGCTCCATTCATATATGGCACTATACTATAAACAAAACAGTAGGCTTTAATGTAGTTACTCAAACTGACTATAATCATAAATTTAAAATTTAACATTCAGTGCTATCACTTCTAGAGTGTTCTCAATTCCACAGGATCACTATGTAGCATTTCAGATTTACTTTATAACCTGCTTTCAAAGATTACCCATGCTTGCTTCCTAAAAGAATGTACTCTGCTTCAACTGCTATTCCTTCTATAGTAATTAAATCTGTATTTATCTCAGTACCTGATACATAGTCAGCACTCAAGTTAGTTATTATCATCAAACTTTGAGTTCCTACCATTTCATTCTCTCTGCTAATACCATAGAATCAAGCCCTATCACCTTATCTAACTTGCTACAAAAGCCAAAGCTCACTACACCTACCTTTTTCCTAGCTCTAATAATTTCTGATTATTATTTAGTAATTCCCTGCTCTTCTGGGAAATCTCACTAATTTTTATTATATCAAATTTACATTCTGTCTGGCTTTTAAACCTGGGCAAGTCATACCTGGTGAGCCTAGATAAATCATAACCTTACTTCTCTTATAAGCAATAATGAGATAATAATCACTACCTAAATTGTTATGAAGACCAACTGATGTGTCATCTACATCAGGTTGCTCAAAAAATTCCTTAGAATTCCATCTGGATAGCCTTTAGAAAGGCCCTACCTACCAAGTACTTAAGAACAAACCATACTGGCACATTACTAAGTATGATAATATACTTTTCTCTCCCAATAAAAAGCAAAAAAGTACTACTAAGCTCTGTTACTTCCCAAACTTTACTACTATGCCAACATATACTTTTCATCCCTAATGTTCAATAAAACAAATATGCTAATAATTCATTTCTACCCCTATATCCATGCTAATATATACCAATTACCTCACTCCCCTAAAAACATATGCCAAATCTACTTAGTCAAGGCCCAGGAGGTTTACATACCTCATATATAAATCACCATTCTACAGATCTTTTATATCTATTGTTCTTTTAACGCCCCTCTAATATTTCTGAACTGCTTTGCATAATTCAGCAAATACATACTGTCTTGCTAGGGCTTCATGGGACACTGTTTTCATCCAAACTAGGTAACTTTCTAGAGTACAGGGCAAGTTCTTTACTCAAGCTATCAACAGTGCATTTTAGTACATCAAGAAAAAGCTAAAGGTGTTAATACAATTACACCTTTGGAGAATGCTCTTGATGGAATAACAATATTAAAGAGAAAAGCATTATTATTCAAAGCTATTTTTTCTGTACTTTAGATATATAAAAGAAGTAACCTAAAAGAGGATGGGAAGGATGGCAAGGACCAACTTGGCAAGGCATTTTGATTTTATCTTATAGGTAACACAACACCATCAAGAGTTTCAAGTAAAAGTAACTTAATTAAAACTAAATCTTCTAATAACTGACCTATAAAACTGAATAATTCAGGATGGCCAGGGGCAGTCAGAAAAGAAAAATATGAAGGGGGCACCTGAACTAGACATGAGGACCTGAAGAAAGGTAATGTCAATTGAGGAAAAGATGACACTCCAACATATCCCTTGGAAGGTGGACCTTTTCTGAAGGCTATCCATATGGGTGCCCAGATTTTTACAGAGCAACCTGGTATCAACACACAAATCATATACTTTAATAACCCTAACTTACACACAAATAACTTTTTATATATTTTCTATAGCTGGATCAGCAGAGATTCTACTAAACATTCACAGGTATAAATAAATTATCTTTTAAACATAATGATCTTGTTATGTTTAATATAAGTTTGTTATGATAATAAATGTACTAAAAATGCAAAAGACTAACAATCTTAATTTGTTCTTAGGAGATCCAAAAATTACTAATAAAAACAAAAGATAGCAACCGTGTAACCGAGAGAACTCTTACCTCAACTGTTTCAACTGTCCACTCATCTACCTGCTCCTTTTCACCACTGCTGAACTGTGTTTCTGCCATAAACTGTCTATTTACATACTGCAAAGCAAAGTAAATGTTTGAGAGTTCTGTTTGAAAGGCAGAAAAAGAAAGCTAACATTAAATAAAAATCATACCTCTGTTGATTCAACTTCACTTTGTTCGGTGTATTCTTCTGCTGGCTCAGGTTCTAAGAGGTTAAGAGAGGATATAAATGAAAAGTAAGAAAATCTTTTGAAAATTAGCAATTCATTTAAACTCCAAATAAGTTAGCAGTTTACCATCAAATAGCCGGAATTTATTTACAAAGTTATAGTCAGCAGTAAGTTTCTGTATTTTAATCATTCTTACAATAATGTATTTAGAAAGTTTTCTTTACCATTTACTCCAGAATGAATTAGGTTCAAGAGTATTTCTGATGAGGTAAAATGCCAAGAGCTAAGTTAAAACTTCTCTCTCTAGCCTTAAGAAGTAATATTATAAAGCAGCACCCAGATTAAAATCTTACTCTCTATTTTAATCAGTTGGTGAAAGTAGTTAAAGGTGGAGAGAAGACTTCCTTATGTTGATCTGCAAACAATAAATTCCATCAATGTGCAATCTTCCCTTCTAGTTTCAACCTTATAACACTGTATGAAGTGCTTACTATGTACCAGATACCATATACATACATACTTCACATACTACTTTCTAAATAGAGAACCTGAGATACAGAGAAATTCAGTTGCTTGCCCAAAGTTACATAGCTAATGAGAGTCAAAGCCAAGCTTTCCATCCAGGCAGTCTGATTCAAGAATCCGTGCTTTTTAACCACTACAAAATTTATGCTCTGACAATGCTTCCAATGGTACTCAGAATTTTATTTATCAACTTAAGTTATCATAAAAGTACTCCTAGTGAGTACTTACCTACTTATTAGTTTATGCTAGGTGTTAAAGTTAATTGGAAAAGATCCCTTGCCATTGACAGTTACAGTTCAAGATTACAGATTTATAATCACCCCAACATTTAAAACACAGACACGCACGCACACACACACGCGTGTGTGTACCCTCATGCTATTCACTTCACATACTAGGCATGGTAAACAACGATAAATCTGGGCATGTCAACCACAATGTACTTAAAAAGCCCTACAACATTTCCCCTCATCTATACTCCAGCCCAGCAATACTGCAATAAAAAAAACTATCAGTTTTTAACAGTGATCCAGGGAAGGACAGGAGACGGAGAGGATCTTAAACAGGCTCCACACCTAGCATGGAGCCAGATGCAGGGCTCTATCTCACAACCCTGAGATCATGACCTGAGCCACAATCAAGAGTGGGACCCTCAACGGACTGAGCCACCAAGTTGCCCCTAAATGACTGATATTTAATACCTCTGGGAATAACTCTTTAATACACATTGTTTGAATATTTTGTCTTGCTTAAAGTTTCATTAAAAACCTCAATGTGCATATGTAACTAAGTAAATGTATAACCTGAACTTGTGGCAAAAGAAGTAAAGCCAGGACTATAAACTAAAGCTCATATCCCCCTAAGTACTTACCAGCTTCAGCTACCTGGTCTTCAACTGTAGGTGCTGAGGCTGCCTCTTCTTCCTCACATAGCCCATTCTGGTGGTTGTGAGTGCTGTCAAAGTAGTTTGACTGGAAAACACGCTCAACAATTTCCTTTAGAGCTTTATCTAAAAATTAAATATGAATTATAATGTTATCTAAAAATTAAATATGAATTATAATGTCAGCCATCTCAGGATGCCTGACTTGAATAAGATTCAACATGCTACAAAATACTGCCCTAAGAAAAAAACCTTATCAACTCTTACTGAAACATACATATAAAAAACATTAAAGTCCACCAACAACAGGAATCATGGAATGACAGATAACAAGAAGCTATTAGTATTAAACTTTATACACTTGAAGTTAGTTCAAAACAAAAAGCTGACAACTATCATTTAATTCATTTAGTATGTATTTAACACCTACCTATATGTTGGGCAACGCAGAAGGCAACGGGGCTACAACAAGATTTGTAAAAGATACAGTATCTGCCCTCCCTAAGTTTATAGTCCAATAGAGAAGAGTTATCAGATACAAAAACAGTAAAATCACATCTGTGAAAAGTACTACACAGAGGTACAATGGATTGGACCCTAGGCACGAAGAAACACAAGACGCTTTCCTGGTGCGTTAAGTGCTGCAAGAGCACCGATCTGGAAGATGAGTAGTAGAAAGGAGAGAAGTGTTTCAAGACAGAGACAACAGCATTTACAAAGCCCTGTATAAAGAGAAAGGGTGCCAAATACAAGAAAATGAAAGCATGTGCTGTGGCTGAGGCATAGGGAGTAAGAAAAAACATAAAGACGAGTCTAGTAAGGGCCAGAACATGCAAGGTCTTTAAGTTAAGAACAACTGTATGTAAAATATAATTAAAAGAAAGCCATTAAGGGCGCCTGGGTGGCTCAGATGGTTAAGCGTCTGCCTTTGGCTCGGGTCATGATCTCAGGGTCCTGGGATCGAGTCCCGCATCGGGTTCCCTGCTCGGTGCAGAGCCTGCTTCTCCCTCTCCCTCTGCCTCTCCCTCTGCTTGTGCTCTTCTGTCTATCTCTCTGTCGAATAAATAAATAAAATCTTTAAAAAATAAAAAATAAAAAAGAAAGCCATTAAAGAATTTAAAGAGGGATGCAGAGGGTGGATTCAGTTAAGAGACTGCATTAGAAAAGAGGCAGAAAGTGGAAGAGAAAAAGAAGTAGATAGATTCAAAAGATATTTAAAAGGCAAAACTGTCAGAATTTGGTACACTTGGATATAAGGGGGCAGGGCAGCAGGTGAAGGTATGTGTCAAGAATTAATCTCAATTTCCTGGCCTTATATATAGTACACGTAGAATGTACCTATGTTTGCAGAATGTATTCTCCAGTAGGTCACTTTACAGAAAAATAAAACTTCAAGGACAGTATCAAAATATCATAGAGTTAATCCTGTTAACAATAAAACTAACAACTTTTTGAATGAACATTTCATGTTTCCCTTCCCCTGCATCAGAGGCTCGTAACTAAGAACTATTTGTTTTAAAAAACTTATGCATGAAAACTAAATGCACATGAAAACACCAATTTGAGTTCATTAGTACCTCTTCATTAGCAATAAAGATCTTACATTCCTAAGATGAGTGAACAAGACTAGTAGAAAGTAACACCAAAATAAGCTACAAGCTTATTTAACCCTTGTTACTCCTCAGTAATGATCAGGCTTGACCTAAAACTATTTTTTCAAGCTAACAAGTTTATACACACACGTAGATTTCTTTCTATTAGAACTTCAAATGATAAATTCAGTACATATTTGGTGCAGAACTAAAATTAAGAAGCCAAAATGATTTTTTTACAAAGAAATACAGAAGAAATACAAATTCTTTTTTACAAAGAAATACAGCCCTGCATCGGGCAAGTTAACAAACCAAGAAAATTATTTCTTACATGAAAAGTTACAAAAAGGCTGGTTCCTCATATTTGATTTACCTATTTCCTTAAAGCAAATACACTCAAATTACATCATACAGTTTTGCCAGTTAAAGCTTTTTATCCAATTTTTCACCAAATAGCTGTATAAACAGATACTTTTACCTTAATATGTTCAAAATCTACTTTCCTAATCAACTTCATAAATAGCAAAGAACCTATTCCCTTATTTACTAAGGAAATAAACCTAAAATTCCTAATTTACTGAGGTAGTGAAGCTTAAATGGCCCTTTATTTTCTTTAAAATCAATATGCACTGCACATTTGAGGTTAAGGTTTAAAAAAAAAATACAAAAAAATTAACATCCTCAAATTAGCTGAAGTCTAAAAAACTAAAGAAAGACGAAGGCAAGGACCATGAGTAAAACATATGAGGTACAGTAAGCATTTTTCACAAAATTTCACCAGTAAGGAAAAAAAAGTCCCTATCTAATACCAACAACTCTGAAAAGTCTATTTGGTGTTAATCTGTCTACCTCAAGCAGAGTAAGTTATAAACAAAACCATGTTAAGTTAGGATTCCCATCTCTACAGATTTAGGATTGGTGTTTTTGACTTACACATACACACACATACACACACACATGGCAAAAAGAAAAAAAAAGGAAGTAAACCAAAAGTAAACAGTAGATAAATGTTATTTACACAGTTCTGAAATTTCGTCAATTAACATTACTTTTAAATAGAAAACCAGTTTTTAAAGACTCTTAGTTACAAAATAAAAAATTGTAATACTCACAGGTTGTTCCACATACAGCTTTTTCCTTTCCTTCCAGTAAGTCCCATAGGTGAATGGAAGCATGTTCATACTGCTCATTCAACCTTATAATAATTAAAAAGCTAATTAATTACTTTTTAGTTGTCAAGTCAGCACTTAGAAGTTTCTACTATCAAATACCACTATACCTCAAGCTCATGTCCCGTTCAGGGTCTGCTAATTTGTAGAATTCATCCAACAATGACAATTCCTCTTCAGACAATATTGGCACTCCATTCAAACCTTGCTTCAGATCAGTTCTCACCTCATCATCTCCCAATTTGTCCAAAACATACTGGAGCTCAAGTACAGTTTTTAAACGTTTTTGTTCTGCTTCTTCTCTCATAAGCTGCTCCCGACGCGCTGTCTTCTTTATTGTTTTCTGAATCTGCATAAATATGTAAGCATAAGACACTGAAATGAAATTCACAAAATTCCTAATTTAGTTCAACCAATTTCAAGTCCAATATAAATAAGATACACTTTACTCAATGAGTATGTGATCTTGATATACAAAATGATGATTCCCAAATTACAAATAAAACTTTAATATTTAATATATCATCTGTTTTAAACAGTTGCTAGAAATTCAGAACACATCTTCCCCTATAAAGTATTATACTACTGAAATGTTACCAATAAAAGGATATATTTGGGATTTGCTTCAAAGTAACCTAGCTGATAGGGAATAAGGGAGTAGGTGTGGGTATATATGAAATAGGACTGCCCATGAGATGAAAACTGTAGAAGCTGAGTATGGATACAGGGGTGTTCATTATATCCATTTAACTTTAGTTTTGCCATTTTTCTAATAAAAAGTATAAAAATTAAAATTTCTAATTAAGCCCGAGTCAATTAAAAAAGAAACCCAGGGGCGCCTGGGTGGCTCAGTCGTTAAGCGTCTGCCTTCAGCTCAGGTCATGATCCCAGGGTTCTGGGATCGAGTCCTGCATCAGGCTCCCTGCTCAGCGGGAAGCCTGGTTCTCCCTCTCCCACTCCCCCTGCTTGTGTTCCCTCTCTCGCTGTGTCTCTGTCAAATAAATAAAATCTTTAAAAAAAAAAGAAAGAAAGAAACCCAAACACAGTAACAATAAAAAAATCTTACCTATATCCATCTCCAAAAATAGAAAAATGGTCCAAATTTTTCACTTTAAATACCTACTATCGACTCACAGAGATGCTACAACCCACCACTGCCTTCCTCACCCCCAACAATCCACTGCTAGTACTATATTATCCCAACATATTGAAAATAGTGACTATGGAGTAACTGGCTGGCTCAGTCAGTAAAGCATGCGACTCTTGATCTCAGCGTCATGAGTTCAAGCCCCATGTTGGATGTAGAACCTACTTAAAAACAGTAATAAAAGGAAAAGAAAAAGAAAAGAAACTGACTTCTGGCAGAGAAAAAGGTGGAGGTAGAAGAGAAATATATGCTAAGTACACAGATATTTTCCCCCACTGTTCTTTTCCTTCTGCTAGTCTTTAACTTTCCTGGGAAGATAAAGGGAGAGCATCAACCAAACTCAAATACGTCTCTCTTTTTCTCGTGCATAATAGTGTCAGCTTGGAGTCAAAAAAAGGTCAGACTTTTAAAGAAAGGTCACTCTTTTCAAGAGCCATAAAAGTGTTTTCCTTCCCACCTTCTCCCATTTCTCAAGCCTCAGCAGGATAAACTGAGACAGAAAAAAACAAAGACATACGAAATGTATAATAAAGGGAGAAATGAGGAAGAGAGACCTAGGAGAACAATGAAGTCTGCAATAAGACAAATCTATGATGGCGCAGAGAGGGTAGCAGATTGATATTTAACAGTAAGTAGCAAGTGAATACTACATACAAACACAGAGATGAAATCTAAGCTAGGGCAGTACAGAAAGCTTTCAAGGAGAAAGTGACATCTACTCCTAAAACAGATGAGCTTTCAATCTTACTGGGGAGCAGGGGCTGGGTGTGTGTGTGCAGTTTTAGGGTAGAGAGGCAGCCAGTAGCCAGAGGCAGGAAATATTATAGGAAGAGACACAGGAATGTGAAATTAAGTCAAGAAAGCAAAAGAAAGAAGATAAAGAATGCCACTCTGGATAAAATGAGCAGTTCAAGTAAGAAAGAATATGAAAACTCGAAAAGGTAGGCTGGAGCTAGGTTAAAGAACTTTTTTTTTTTTTTTAATTAGAGAGAGAGAGAGCACGAGAGCACGAGTAGTGGGGGAGGGAGAAGCAGGCTTCCCGCTGAGCCAGGAATGGGACTCGGGACCCCAAAGGCAGACGCTTAACCAACTGAGCCACCCAGGAGCCCCAAGAACTCTTGAATGCAAAACAAAGAAGGTGTTTAAAAATTGTGGGAAAGTGCAATAAAGCATCAGAGTTCAATAAAAAGACTGCCAATAAATTTAAATGCCTCGTGAAAAGTTCCTGAAAACATCACTGTTAAAACAGAAGCAAAGGAGAATGTAAGTATTTTCACTTACATGGTGTTAGTAGCTTGAGAAATAGATTGGTTCTATTATTAAACTGTACAGCAATCCTACTTCTATGATCCATATTTTTTTAAAGAAATCAGAAAAAGAAATTGGCCAGGATTCATCAAGCCTGAGGCTCTGACCTAGGTGAAGTGGAACAATTCCCTACTTGGGTATAAATTAAGTTTTCCTTTATTCCATTTTGAGGGATATCATCAATATTTTCCAACTTTAATCAAATTTAGTAAGTAACATATTAAGTGCATGAAATATATTAGCCATGAGTCAAATACTGTTCCAAGCACAACCCTGTGATGAGGTAGGGACCATTATTATCGCCACTTTACAGATTAGAAAACCAAAGCACTGTGACAGCCTCTCTCCTCTCCCTGTCTCTCTTTTGATACTACTGGTTCTGTTTCTCTGGAAAACCCTGAATGATATAGGGACAGACAAGTTCAGTAACTCAAAGTCCTACAACTATTAAATAAAAATGGCAGAATCAGGATTCAAACCAGACAGTCTGGTTCCAGAATCAGAACTTTTTATCTCTGTACTGCAATGTCTCTCATCACATAATTGTTTTGTTTATTCACTTAACCAAATCTGAGGCAACTTTGTATTTAATGCTGTTAACCTTTCTCCAAATAAGGTAACACTAATTCAGAAGAATATGAATTTTCTGGTCTCCCTCAATTTTCAACAAATTATTTGACTTTGCTTGTATTTTTGTCCTGTTCCCAGACTTCTATCACATCAAAAGATGTATGGGAAAAACACACCACTTTGTTAGATCATGAGTTGATACAAGAGCAATGTATCCCAGTCTGCCACATTCCTTAAGATCCCTAATGGAGACAGTGATTACCAAATATAAAAACAAGACTCTATTTTCTGATAGTTAATAGAACTGTAAGATGGTCATTAGGCATAAAGGAATATATGGAAAATAAATGTTCATATACAAGAAATATATGGAAAATACGTGTGTGTATATACATAAGCTAATTTTTTTTTAACAATGACATCTTTAGGGTAACTACTATATTAAGTTTGTCATATCTGAAAAAAAAAAGTTTGTCATATCTGAAACCTCAGTTCTCAGGCATCTTTCAGGTGTTACATTAAACTTTACAGAATTGGAAAGCGTTTTAGGTGTAACTGAATGCAATCCTCAACTTGCAGAGAGCTTATCAACAGTAACGCAACGACTAAAACCCAAAGAAACAAAATTTTCTGCTTTCCTTATTTTTATTATTTCATAAACATACATATAATCTTTTACTTACATCTTGACTTAATGCCATGAAACTCCTCTGTAATTCTTTTGCAAACTCCAAATTATTTGTGACTTCCTGGTACTTAGATACGGCATCCTAAAATAACAAAGACAAAACCCAACTTTACTAAAACACAAAGAACCAAAAATTAATTTTCTTATTAAAAACAGCAAACATATAGTCTTTAATAAAATGTAGCATCTTTACCAGCTGATCTTGATTAAGCCTTTCCCCTTTGTTCATTCGTTCCTGGTAATCATCAAGCTTGCCCTATGTTAAAAGAAAAAAAAAATAGAATTATGCCCCACATTAAAGTATATATCAGCCTAACCATGCTGAAATACAAACACATATATCCTCTAAGTTTGTCTCAAATCTTGCCCTAAAGATACGTTTTAGTTGATTTCAGTTTAAGTTAGTGCATGAAGTAAGTTAATCAACAGTGAGCTAAAAAATGAATGTAAATACTCCCACCCCTGCTGAATGATACCAAATTTTGTACTACAAGCCAATGACACAACACAACATTGCTTATTCTTTAGGTTTCTCAAAAAAGATCTGCATCAGATGGCCTGCACAAATGGTTCCTATCCACATGAGTGAGGGCCACAACATGGTTACAATCCTGCTTATACAGGAGCATATCAGACATTTTAGTGTTGAATTCTTGTCCCTCTCTTGCCCCTTGCCAAAGAATTCATGTGACTAAGTGATACAAAAAGAGTGTATTTTTCCTGAATAGACCCAAGTGCATATTATCTTTGATGTACTTCATCCATTTCTTTTGAACAACATAATACTTCAGCTATCACATCACCTATGGATAGTGTGCTAGTCAACAGCTTTGCTTCATTTTCTCACAAATGGAATTAAATGTATGACAGTGGGAAAAGAAAATTAACCTCTGGCTTAAGTCATCTTTATTTTCACTAAAATAAAAACTTTGGCAGTTTCCCAGGCTACTACTATTTGATAAACCCCAAGAAAAGATATCCAGGTAATGCAAAAGTCAAGAACTGAGTTGTTTTAAAGGTCAGAGGAGAGTAAATAGAAACCTAAATTAAGGGAGAGAAATTTTAAGGGGGGAGGGGCAGAGGGAGAGAGAGGGAGAATTTTAAGCAGACTCCATGCCCAGCGTGGAGACTGACATGGGGCTCAATCTCACAACCCTGAGATCATTACTTGAGCTGAAAGCAAGAGCTGGACACTTAACCGACTAAGCCACCCAGGCACCCCAAGGGGGAAAAATATTTAATTAATATAATCACAATAAATTATGAATATTTATTGTTCCTTACCCTCAGCAAAAATAAAATTAACCATAAAACAAAATACAAAATCTAATAAAATGCATTCAGGGTCAAAGAAACAAGTTTTAAAAACAATACTAGTTAGTTTTAGGTCAAACGATCCATTTTCTTTGTACCAGAAACATTAGTCAACTTGCATAACCATTCCACCCTAAATTAAAAAGCGTAACAGGACACCTGGATGGCTCAGTTGGTTAAGCGTCTGCCATTGGCTCAGTTCATGATCCCGAGGTCCTGGTATCACACCCCATGTCGGGCTCCCAGATGAGCGGGTAACCTGCTTCTCCCTCTCCCCCTCTGCCCCCTCCCTCTCCCCCCGCCCCTCCCCCACTCATTCTCTCTCTCTCTCTCTCTCTCTCTCTCAAATAAATGAAATCTTTAAAAAAAAGAAAGAAAAGCCTAACAATTCCTCAGTTATCTTGGAGGTAAATAAAACCAAGATAAACATTAAAACATTAAAGGCTGATGAAAGTATCCAATTGTATTCTTAGGTGGATTATTTCACACAACAACCTCCAGCTGGAAAGGTATAAAATTTGTCTATGGTTGAAAAATGAAGGCAGGCCTAATTCCAGGTACAAAAGATATGCTCAACTGCCTTTGAACACTCTTTGAGGATGAATAAAGGCAGTTCATTCTCTTTTTTAAAAGGGTAGGCTAACTTTTCTTTTAAGAAATAAAAAACCAAACAAGATTTGCTTTTAATGATGACTTAGAGTATAATAATACTTTATTATAGTCAGGATTCCTCTATTTAGAAATAAACAGATAACAGAAGATATGAGAATGAAAAGAGGACCCAAAATGTAGTGCTAGTACAGTAAAAATTCTGAATTCACTATTAGGTAGAAGAAAAAATACTGTTAGTTTATACCTGGCATTTATTATCTTCCCTTTTTATACATTTTTCAAAGCTGTTGCTAAATCTAAAGTAATAGAGTATATTATATATCCCTCATAGGGTAGAGTTTTACCTACCTAGCTTAGCTTTATCATTTAATGTCTTAAGAACTTAAAACATATATGCCAATTAAAATAGACATTAAATGAAATTCCTAAAAAATGTACATATATAAAAATATATATATGAAAAGTTTTTTTAATGTTAAGAATAGTACCTGAGTAGTAGAATTACAGGTAGAAATTTTTTCCTTTTGCTTTGTTTTGTATACTTAGATATTCTGCAATCAACATATACAGTTTAAATAGAAAATTAAAATTTCATGCTATAGAAGACAGTAAGAATGACAGATTTCAGGATACTGCCAGGACTTTAACCTATAATAATCCTTGACTATGAATCTATACTATCCTATACAGGGCAAGCTATCCTAAAGTAGAAAAACTCCAATTTTCTCCACAATAACAAATTTAGTATTCATCCAACCCAAAACTCTATGGCAGATTACATTTTCCAAAGACAGCTACATCTGCAGTTCTACATACTCTTCTACCATGTGACCTTGGCACTGCCCCTTGTAGAACTAGTCCAATTCCTCTGCCACTGTATTAAGTGGGCTTCTACCAACAGAGTACAGTGGAAGCAATCCTGTAAACTTCCAAGGCTGTATCATAAAAGCAATGTATCTCTGTCCTGTTTGCTAGTCACTAAAAACACTCGTGTTTGGAGCCCCAGGCTATCCTACAAGAAGTCCAACAACCCTGAGGTTGCCATGCTATGAGGAAGCCAAGCTATGAAGAGGTCTTATGTAAGAATTCTGATCAGCAATCTTAGTGTTAGTCATTCTAACCCAGGCATCAGACATGTGAGTGAACAAGCCTTAGTCTTTCCAGCTGAGGCCCCAGAATCACAGAGCAGAGACACACAAACCCCACTGTGTGCCCTGTCTGAATCCCTGACATGCAGAATCTGTGTGCATCATAAAATGGAGTAAGTTTTGGAGTAATCTATCACACAGAGGAGTAACTGGAAAAACGTTAAAAGGGAAATCAAAACAAAGGGAAAGCAGCTGCTATATGAAACTCAGCTTCACAGTACACACCTTCACTGAATACTGTCACCAAAAACTATGCAAAGACTTTGCCGCCAAAACAAAGATCTATTTCCATTAAAACTCATACATCTCTTTCTTTTGATTTTTATAGTGCTATAACAGGTTTCAAATTTTACAATCCATAATTTAAGAGCCATAATTTTCAAAGGGAGGACTGCCACTGACACACAAGAAATGACAGTTTACTGTGACAGAAAAAACATCTTAAAAAATTATGATGTAACTGAAAAATCTCAAGGATCTTTAACAGGGGATTTTCAAAAGATGATCACACTTCCGTATACCTCGTGAGCTGAATTAATGCAGTTTTAGTGATGCAATCAAAAAATGTCATTAACTACAGGAATGCAAACTACAGATCTTTTGTAAAACATTTTTCTAACCATAATAAAACAAAAGTTTCATTATAGCTTTACATTTATTCCTCTATAGCCATTAACACTTGCTCTACTACCGTTATAAATATCCTATTCCCTTATCCTGGCCCAATCTTCAAAAAAGCAAGATGCTGAGTCTGGTCAAAGTTCCTAATAAATAGCCCTCATTTGAGGAAACTGAAACTTACTAATAAGACTGCAGGGACAATTAGAAAACTGTTCTACATTAAAGGGCCCTAGTTGGTTTTTTTTTTCTTTATCAGTGTAATACAAGCTCTCCTGGCTGCTTGGGTGTATAAGACTTTATCACCATGGCATTTGAACTAAGAGGACGACCTCTGTTCCCTATTACATATAATAAGATCTGTACATAGCAGGGACCCTGTGTTGATCTCCAAGTCAGTGATTTTCAAAGTGTGGTCTCCAAACCAGCAATATATCAGCATCAGCTAGGAACTTGTTAGAAATGTAAATTCTCAGGGCGCCTGGGTAGGCTCAGTCGTTAAGCGTCTGCCTTCAGCTCGGGTCATGATCCCAGGGTCCCGGGATCGAGCCCTGCATCGATCTCCCTGTTCCACGGGAAGCCTACTTCTCCCTCTCCCACTCCCCCTGCTTGTGTTCCCTCTCTCGCTGTGTCTCTCTCTCTGTCAAATAAAGTAAAATCTTTAAAAAAAAAAAAAAAAGAAGAAGAAGAAGAAATGTAAATTCTCAAGGTGCCTGGATGGCCTGGCTCAGTCAGTGGATCAAGCAACACTTGATCTTGGGGTTGTGAGTTCGAACCCCCGTTGGGTAGAGATCACTTACAAAAAGTAAATCTTAAAAAAAAAAAAAAGAAAGAAAAAATGTAAATTCTCAGGCACCACCCCAGGTGCCTCTGGGGGTGGGACCCAGCAATCTGTGTTTTATCAAGCCCTATGCACCACGATTCTAATGTGTGGTTAAGTTTGAGAACCATTCACCTAGATCAAATACATTGTAATTCCCTTGTAATAATCCAGGAGAATACAGAAATAAGAAATTATTTTGAATGAAACACTGATACAAATTGTGACCATAAAAATTATTATATGACAGCCTCAATTTGGTTACTTAAAGGTTTAGCTGTGAACAAACTCAGAAAACTTGTTGATGGTGGTTTTCTAAACCAGCTTATAAATCTATTTAACCTAGTCATTTACATAAGATCCATTTATGATCTGAACACTGAAGGGTTACCATCTTCCATTCACAGTACTTTTATTAAATTATGCCTGTCCAGAAGTTCAGAGCACTTTATAATTAAACTCAATGGTGAATGCCAAATTTCATACTAGCAACAGAAAGCCTCTTAAGAACATTCAATTGGTCTAATCTTCTGCCTTTCAAAATGAGGGTGGATTGCAATCCCAGCTCACTCCTAAGTAGCTTTCAGAGATTTAAAAAAAAAAAGACATGGTATCTGCACTAGTCCCAAGAGTAGGTAACTCAAAAACAAATGACACTATCGTAACTGGCTTCATTCCTATTGTCACATCCCATTCAAACAGCTTAAAGTCCAAGTAGAAACACTCTTCATTTGGGGTTAAATT